ATATATATATATATATATATATATTATATATATATGCATCCTGGGGGGGCCCTCGTGCTGTCCCACTTTAGGGGCCCTGCTAATTAGAGCCTAGGGGGCACAGCACCCCGACTCAAACCCTAGGGGGGGCCCTGAATAACCAGATGGGGCCCCCTGAATCTAACTCTAGCGTTCCCGCTGGCACAAACCCAAAGGGGCCCCCTTACCCAAACCCAGGGGGGCCCCATGAAGAAACCTTTGGGGATCCCCATGCGAATTCGTTCCGCTGGTATGGGGGGCCCCCTTTGCAGCGCCGCCATTGGCTCCCTTGAGGGGTCCTGAGGGGCCCCTTGAGGAGGAGAGCACCAATGGCTAGTTGTTTTGTTAATAAATGTAGATGCTTTTGTTTATACGAGCAAGGCGTAGGGGGCCCCCAGTGCCTCCTACTTTTTTACACTTTGGTGTAATTAAGAATTATAAATAGTAATTTTATTTTTATTTTATTTATTAATTAAAAAATAATAATTTGTTAAAAAATGACGGCAAAGAGGTGAACACTGCCGTGAGGCACTGCGTTACCACTACCCCGGCGGTGGGGGTTTAGGGTTTAGGGTTTAGGAATTAAATACTGTCTCCAGGTTCTTACGTAACTGAGCCGCAGACTTCTCCCTGTCCACTCGCCACACGTTATGTGGCGCTCTCTCATCTGCGCACAAACAAACCCTAAACCCTAAACCCTAAATCCTGATAGCTAAATAGGCAGCGAGTGCCAGCCTATGGAACGGGGCTATAGAGTGCAAGGGATCGTGTATAAGGGGTTTGGTTAGGGTTTAGGGTTTAAGGTCGGTTTGGAGCCGAGGGTTTAGGGTCTAGGGTTTACCGAAGAGGAGCGCATGCACGCCAGATCCCCCCAATATACTCTTAGGGAGGAGTTGGTGTTGCCGTAGTCTTCTTTCTATTAGCAGCAGAGAGAAACCCTCATCTGCAACCTCCTGCAGTACCTCAGGGTCTAGGGGCCTCCTATTGAAGCGTCTGCTGCTGCGCCTGTCTTGGGGGGCCCCTGGGGGCCCCCATCCAAGAACAGCCCTGCGCAGCTCGTTAAGGGTTCGACGGGTGCCTGTTGTTGGGAGCACAGCAACAGCACATCCTAAGCCCTAAACCCTTAACCATAAAACCCACAGTTGAATATATGTGCCTCCGCTAGTCGCCAACGTTTAGGGTTTGCTGCTTTAGTGTTTAGGGTTTAGGGTTTAGGAGTTAGTTGAGACAAGCTGAGGAGATGCACCGCGCGCAAAGATGCATACCAATTGAAAGGAGCTGTGTCTGCATCTCTCTCTCATCCTCTGCTTGTTGCCCATGCTGCTGCTGCTGCTGCTGTTGCTGCTGCTGCTGCATGAGGATCCCCCTAAAGAGTCTCTCGCTCCCGAACGTTAAAGCATCTGTAAGCAGGGCCTCCCGCTGCACCGCCTCAGGCAAGGGCGGGAGGGCCTCCATGTGCCTGTAGACTCTTGGTTGTCTAGGGGGCCCCACAAAGAACACAGAAAAGAGACAAAAAGAGACAATAAGGGAGAGACAATAAAGTCCCCACCAGCGCAGGGAGGCACACCAGACGACAGGCGGCAGGAGGAGACAAAGAGGAGACAAAATAGAGCCTAAAGCAAAATAGAGAAAAAGGAGACAGGTAAAAAAAGGAGACCAGAGGAATAAAAAAGAAGCAAATAAAGGGGGGCCTCCTTACCGCAAGTCTATACAATGTACAAGGGGCTTAAGGGGCTCCTTTAGAGGGAGGGGCCCCACAGCTATTTTCTCTATTGTCTCTCTTGCATCGAATAAGACCTTAAGGACAAGAGGGTTAGGCAGCAGCCACTGCAGCAGCAGCTCAACAGCAGCAGCATAAACCTCCTGTCTCTGCAGCAAATCAATTATAACTGTCTCCTCCCCCCAAGAGAGACACAATAAGGATGCACGACTACCAGGGGGCCCCACTACTCGTAACCCTACAGCAAAGGGCAGCAGACCTGCTGCTCCTTCCTCCCCTATCTCTAAAGGAAATGAAAACTCATTAGGAGACAGAGAAGAAGAAGACACCGTCTCCTCATAGCAATCCTGCTGAGACCCATCAGGGGGCCCCTCTGGGGGCCTCGCAGAGTGCCCTTTAGGGGTTTCCCAATGCGGGGGCCCCTCAGACTGTTGCCCCTCACGGGGACTCGCAGGGGCCCCTTCAGGGGCCTCCCCCTGCGGTGGGTGTGTTTGCTGCTCCTGTCCCCGTAACGTCAATCTACGGTGCCTAGCAAGGAAATACGAGATAGGAGGGGCCCCTGGTGTGTCTTCTTCTTTCAGTTGGTTATTTATTGCATAGATAGATTGCATGTCTTGCTGTGTCTGCAGCAAACGGCTTTGCTGCTGCTGCTGTCTCCTAAGGACCTCAAAGACCTCCCCAACCTCTTTTGCTGTCCCTATGAAGTGTAAAGAAGGAGCACGCAGCCAACTCCTGCTGCAACTGCTACTGCTGCTGTTGTTGATGTCAGTGCTGCTGCTGCCAGTGCTACTGCTGCTGCTACTGCTGCAAATGTTGCTGCTGCTGCCAGTCCTGCTGCTGCCGCTGCTGGTGACTGTCTCTGTAGAACTCGAATCCGTCAGGTCCTCCGTGTTCTCCTGTATTGACAGCTGAGGGTACAAGGCTACGGGGCCCCCAGAGGGGGCCCCTTCTTTGGGTACGAGCAAGCCTTGGCGGCTCATAAGAAAGCTCCAAGAGTCTCGCGGCAGACCTGAGGACAGTAGAACAGACACCTGGCAGCCTGCATGCATGTGTGCATGCATGCATGCATGCACGCATGCAACCATAATCTAAAGTGTACAGACAGTACGGAGCCTGGCTGTAAGGGGTTCGTTTTAGAACTTAGGGTTTAGGGTTTAGGGTTTAGGGTTTAGAGGTGTTTGGCCCAACAAGAGACAGCAGGGGTCTATATAGTTCTTATAGGGAGGGAAACCTCCCTATAAGGAGAATAGACAAAAAACCAAAAGCAGATGAGGAAGTAAATAAGGGAAGAAAAGAGATACAAATAAGCAAACAAAATAAACCCTTTATACCCTTGTGTAGCTATAGAAAATATATATATTGTATATATAATAAAATAAACAAATAAATAAATAAATAATAATATAATATAATGAAGTACTAAGAAGATAACAAGACAAATAAAAGAATTGCTGTTTGCTGCACCCCTACCAGTTAAGGGATCCTTCTCGCAAAGTACTTCTGCTGCTGCTTGCTGCAGCAAGCAGCAACAGCTGCCTATACACCTGAATATATGAATAAGGAAAGATTCGCTCTGCCTCTGCTGCGCTACCTCCAATAGAAACCTCCAGGAGACAGATGTCCCCCTTAATGGTGTATTTATTGCCTCTATTGCATCAGCTAAACCCTCGAGTTCTCCCTGCAACAGCAGCAGCAGCAGCAGCAGCACAACACCCATACGCTCCACATATATATACGCCAACTGTCCCCTTTATTATTTAAGTGTCTCCTTTGTGTCCCCCGTGTCTCCAAACAAAACTTAGGGACACTAGAGAGACACATAGAGACACTGAAGGGACACTTTGCTGCTGCTGCTGCTGCTGCTGTTGTTGTATCTACTGCAGCAGCTGCTGCAGTGTTAGATATTGTTAGATGCCCTTTTTACTGAGTGATACAACATCAGCAGCAGGTGCTGCTGCTGCTGTTGTATTACTGCAGCAGCTGCTGCTGCAGTTCCCTTTTCCCTTCTTACTAAGTGTTTGTTCTCTGCTGCCCAACAGGCACCAAAGATGCGCGGGGCATCAAAGAGAGGAGACCCTTGTGTCTCCAAGAGACACCTAAGGAGGGCCTCTAAGGAAGAGGGACTTAGACGGTAAGAGAGTTGCTGCAGCAGCAGGAAGCGTTGACGCCCATCAGGCCCCTCTTCCTCCTCCTCTTTCTGCTGCTGCTGCTGCTGCTCCTGCTCCTGCTGCTTTGTAGGCAGCAGCAGAGGCAACAACTCAAGGAAGCACGTACTCCCCACCACCTCCAGCAACACATTCAAGTTTACTGCTGCACTACTACGCGGCATAAGAGCAAAATGCCTACAGGGACAAGACAGAAGGAGACAGAGAAAAAGGAGACACTTATAGAGACAAGACAGAAAGAGACAGAGAAAAAGGAGGCACTAAAGGGGATAAGACAAAAGGAGACACAGAAAAAGGAGACACTTAGGGGATAAGACAGAAGGAGACAGAGGAAAAGGAGACACTTACAGATAGATACAAAGGAGACACACAAAGACACACAAATAAAGTCTCTTTTCTTCGTCTACTCTGTCTTATACAACAACCAATACCTCCAGACACTCCATTAAACAACAGCAACAAGGGGCACAATTCCTCTACAGGGGGCCCCCTTTAGGGGCCCCTCGTGTCCCTAAAGAGACATCATAGGGGCGCCAGAGGCCCCTTCCATGCTTCTTGCAATACATGAGGAAGGACACAACATGAACTACGTGTTTGTTGTTTTGTTCATAGCTTTGTTCTGGGGCCCTGAACGGTATGGCTCTGCTGCTGCTGCTGCTGCTGCTGTTATTGCTGCTGCTGCTACTGCTGCAGGGAGTGTGGGACCTACTCCTCAACAACAGATAAAAAAGCCTTAATAGCAACAGCTCTGTTGCGAGTAGAAGCAGACGGTGTCCAGCTAGGGTTGCAAACCCCAAAGATGAGTTCAGGGTACCGGCAAACCCTTACGGGGCCCCCGTCTCGTCCTTCTTCTAGGGGCCCCCCGGCTAGATGCCGGGGGCCCCCATGGAAAGCAAGGCCCGACTCAGGGGGACCATGGGGGTCTACAAAGGGAGCCCCCAAGGGGGCCCCTGGGAGGTCGATTCGCATCTCTGCAAGGGCCTTGGGCAAGGAACGATCTCCATTGAACAGCAATTGTAATGCAGCATGCAGTTCTGCCTTCAACGTTCCCCATCGCCTGTATCCACGTAAAAAAAAATCGTAAACCCTAAACACTAAACCCTAAACCCTAACCTTTGCTGGAGATGAATGCCGAAAACATGGAAAGCATGCACCATTTACAATAGGTAATTCACAGATTCAATTTAGGGTTTAAGACACAGGGAAAAGGGTTTACCGGTCAAGAATGTGTTGGTACGGCATAGGGTTTGAGTGGCAAGAAGGAAGGTTTAGGGTTTACATTACTGCAAGAAGGGTGCGCTTGCGATTCACACGGTAGGCTGCGCAGTTTGAACTTCACTACCGCGGAGGGACTAGGGTTTAGGGTTTAGGGTCTAGAGTACGTTGGCTGAAACGGGTCTTCATGATCACCAAGGTTTCCGTTTGTTTTCTTTTGAGGCCAGATGGGCCCCTTGGGGCCCCTCAAGGAATCGAGAATACGGCTGAGGATATTTGCAGCAAGTTCTCCTACTTTGCCTTCATCACAAAGACGGTAACACAACTCCACTGTAGGCACAGCAGCATGCACAGTGGGGGGGCCCCGTGGCGCGGGCCCCCCCCCATCAGAAACCCAGGGGACGTCTACGGCGCAATTCTGTAAGAGGCGCACAGACAACACGGGGGGGCCTAAGGGAGCAACAGACACGTGGGGCCTTCGATACCTCTCCACACACAAAATATGGGGCCTCAGCAGAGCTGAAGAAAGGCTTGAGCCGCAGCTGATCCTGCTGCTGCTGCTACCGCTTGTCGTGTTGCTGTGGCTGTCGCTACTGCTGTTCATGCTGCTGCTGCTACTGCTGATATTGGTCCTGCAGCAACTGCAACAAGCAGCAAAGCGTTCCTTTGCGTTCCTTGCTGCAGACGAACGCAGAGTTAGCCTTAGAAGGGGGCTCGTTCCATGTGCTGCAGCAGCAGTTCCTGCGTCGAGACTCAGGGGGGCCCCCCTGCTCCGCAGCACACACGCAGCAACTGCAGCCATCGGATGCTTTCGTGCCCTAAAACACAAAACTTCTCCATTTGGGGGCCCCTTGCTCTTGGATAGAACTCGGGAGTCCCTTGCTTCTACCCATTTTCAGTGACCCCAGGGCTTTCATGGGGGGGCCCCACGCTCTCAAGGGGGCCCCAGGGTACTGCCGAGTGCACTAATGGGTCAACAGCTTCTGCTAGTTGTGTATGATATTCAAGCCAGTCTTCTTTTCTCTCAGCTTACTTTACCTACTTTTAGGGATGGGTTCTGCTTCGCTGCCTCTGCCGCTGGAGTAACAGCAAGAGGTAAACGGGATATACCCGTGAGATCGGCTAGCTGCTTTAATTCTTCTACAGCGAATTGAATTTATTAGATTACTTCATTTGTTAATAACCAGAAACTGTCGGCTAAACCTACAAACAGGCCTTGGGGTTCTATACAGTCCTGGCAGAAGACGGAGAAGGCCTTATTGTCTGGTTATCGACATCAACGAAACCCAGTAAACGACATGCTATAGTATTTTAATATCAACGAAGAGCATTAAACAGCCGGAGAAGTGCCTCGTGTTGGCCCTGTTAAGGGGCAGTGAGCATCAGTAAGGTGTATGTATATCTTATGGTATAGGACTCACAGCTCCGCGTAGAGCACATACAGCTCGGGCTCTCCAGCATGCAGCTTAGGGCTTAAAAGTCTAGATCTTGAGGTTTATAGCAAACAGCCTAGGGTTAGCTGTACTGTATATGGCCTGGCTTACTGGAGGCAAAAGAAACTCGCCCTACACGTTACTGCCTATATCGGCGTGTGTCAGTCACTGCCCAGGGAGAAATTCAATAAAACAGACCTCGATCTTTGGTATGTACCACAGCAGAAGAACAGCTGCTGCAGCTGCTGCAGCTGCTGCCTGCAGCGCGAGTGGTCCCTCGACTCCCTCTAACGTGTGGGGCACACTAATAATGTATAGAATAAACACAATAACTAACACTTCGGCCTACTCAGCTCTGGGGAGAAACAATGAATGCAAACAACGGGCTTCGAGTTCGGTGGTGGGGGCTTAAGGTCTATGATTAGGGCGCTGGGGAAAGGAAGAGATGGAGTCACCACTCTGCACCTTTAGCGCACGAGGGACAAAGATAAGTGGCAGACAGAACGACTCTCATGATGTTCTTGAAAGGGACAGCAAACACCATTCCCCAAAAGACGAGGCGTCTTCCGTACACCGACTGGAAGCCGTGGATATGGTATGCAGTCTGCATTAAGGCACGGCGAGGCCAGCTTTCACACTAGCAGCAGCCGCAGCAGGCACTCGCCAGCTGTGTGTCTACTTGAAACGTCGAGAGCATATTGTGGGCCTGCAAGTCCCCCTCCCCGTTGTCTCTTCTATTTCTTCCTCTGTCTCCTCTCCCATATCTGCTTCGTCGCGTTGTCAGCTGGTGTGTGGCTCTCTTGAAGACGGGGTGGAGGCAGTTGGTGCCGTTCAGTTCATAGGGGACAGCGGCAGAAAGCAATACTGCTGCACCCGTGTGTCTATCTGCCCTTCTTCCGTTTGCCTTACGCTAACTAGCCAGGCAGCCAGCTATCTAGCTAGCTACATAGCTGCTCCTCGCAGCTTCTCGTAGGCCCCAGCCACCATATCTCCCACAGAGCGGAAGAGGCCCTGTGTTGTCTCTGATGCAACAGCACTCTTAACCCCTCCATACACCTGAGTCCCCACAGCAAATGCATCTTTGCTGATGCGCTGAGCCTCTGCCTTGAGAGCGTCTGCGTCTCCTCCTGCACCTCCTGCTCCTCCTCCTCCTGTGGCGAAGAAACAAGGGCTAGGTGGTGGTGTCTCCGGCGCCCAGTACGCCGCCGTTGGAGAAACAGCTGGATACAGGTACTGCTGCACAGGCAGCAGCGGCGGGTATGAGTTCACTGTATATGTTGTGGGGGGAGGCGCGTAAGTAGGAGGAGGCACTGCAGCGGTAGGAGACACTGGAGCACCTGTTTCCGTCTCCCACACCCGTACGCTGCCTCGAGGACTCGTCCCCGAGTGGGTGCTCGTCTCCATCATGGGTATGCAGGTAGCCCTGCAGCACAAACCGTTTGCATGCAGCACCCTGCACTTAAGCCAATAACACAACAAGCGTAAAGGCAGCCAACCAGTCGGCTAGCCGTTGTCTGCCACAGCTAAATGCAACGAAGCACAGCCACAGCCAGCTAGCCATAACTAACCCATAGCTAACCCATAACTAACCCTAAACCCTTAACCCTAAACCCTGATATCCGTCAATCGAGATGAGACGCCGTTAGAGAAAAACGTCCCGCTGCTGGTCCCCTACGGATGCTTGCTGCTACCTGCACCGGGATGGCTCACTGGTTGCCAGTCTTGAGGGCATCTGCCTGGTTATAAGCGATAAACTCAGAGTAGGGCATGAGACCAAATCTTGTCTCAATCAACGGCTCTGGCGTACCCGATTGCTGCCCCACAAACAAGTAAAAGCAGAAACAAACAAGGAATCATAAAGGAGCGCATACACTCCGCAGGCAGCGATGACACCCAAGGCAGACAGACAGAGACACACAAACGATAACAACGCACAAAATTTGCAAACATGAACTCAGCCTGCAGCTGCAACTGCTGCTCCGGCGGGTACCCGTTAGCGAAGTGGCCCGCTGTCCGCACTGAAAACAGATCAACGAGCCTAATAAAGCAGAGATCAACTAATCAACTCCGTGCCTTTGAGTTCGACAAGTGTTACAGCGGCGTGGTGTATGTACACCGCGAACTTCCCTCTCACCTCAGCAGGCAGACCCCAGGTATACTCCTCTGGAGGGGCGTCCTGGCTGCACAACACCTCAGCTTTTCTCTGGGCCTCGGCAGCAAAGCGCTGCTGTTGCCGCAGGTGGTCTTGCTGCAGCTGCTTAAGAGCTTCTTCCTGCTGCACTCGCAGCAGCTCCTGCTGCTGCCGCAGCGTTTCGTGGTGGGATACCAGCTCCTGTTGCAGCTGCTTCTGCTGCTGCTGCTGTTGTTGCAGCAGACTGGCTAGTGCTTCTTCCTGTTCCTGTAGGAACCGCTGCTGTCTCTCGACTTGTTCTCGTCTCTGTCGCTCTTGTATCTGCATCAGCTCCTCCAACTGTTTCTGCTGCTGTTGCCGCTGCAGCCGCTCCTCGTGTTCCCTCTTTTCCTGCAGTTCCCTTATTAGCGCCTGCCTTTCCTCCTCCCTTCTGCGCCGCTCCTCCTCTAGCCGCGCCTGCATCTCCGCCTCTTGTTGCTCCCGCTGCAGCTGCAGCTGTTGCTGAAGCTGCTGCTGCAGCTGCTCTTGCAGTTCCTGCAACTCCTGCTGCCTGCGTTGTTCCGCCTCCCGCCGCTGCTCCTCGAGACGCTGCAATTCCAGCAGCCGCTGTCGTTCCTGCTGCTCATATAGGCGTCGGGCTTCTTCTTGCTGCTGCAGCTGCTGCTGCTGCAACTCCAGCATGCGCTGTTGTTCGCGTTCAGCTTGTAGTCGCAGCAGCTCTAGACGCCTCTCCTCTTCCTCTTGCATACGTCTTCGTTGTTCTGCAATCGCCGCTTCCTGTTGCTGCCTTTGCATCTCCAAGTACATTTGTTGCTGCTGCTCAAAGCTGTAACCAGCACCAAACCCAGCAGCACCACCGGGGCGTGGGCTCAACGAGTCCTCATTGTTGAGTTTCTCAAAGACAGAAAATGGCATATCTCCAAACTTCGTCCGAATCCACGGATCCGGAGATGCCACAACTGGCGGCTGCTGCTGCTGCTGTTGCTGCTGCCGCTCCTCCTCCCACTTCTGCTGCTCCTGCTTAAGCCGCCGCTGCTCCTCCTCCAGTTTCTGCTGCTCCTGAAGCTGGCGCGAGGCGGATACAGTTTTAAAGGTCCGCGGGCTGCTGGAAGGCGTGTAGGGAGGGACGATGCGAACAGTCTGCAGCACCGCACCACCGCAACTAATCCCTAAACCCTAAACCCTAAACCCTATGCCCTACACCCTAGAAGTCGTATTGTCGTTGGGTTCTGCGTTGTGACAATGCGTTTGCACTTTTTGTGGGGACTGACTCTTGTGGTTGGGGCGGGGACGGAGAGAGCTCTGGAGGTGTCCGTACAACAGAAAGGGCGTCTGCTCCTTCTTTTGGGGGAGACAGTTGCAACTCGGAGGCGATATTTGTCTGCGCTTCCTCCCGCTCCTGTGCTGTATATATACTCCCGATTTGTGGCAGCGCGTCTGCGCGGGGTCAACATTGAACAGCAACCCGCTGCGTCCGCAGCGGCCTCCTCACCTTCGATGACAAAACCTTGCTGCTGTTGCTGCTGCTGTATCGGAGTGGTGCTCCACCGTATCGGCATGGGATACGAAGTGTGCAGGGTGCTGCTGGGTTTGGTATGAAACAGCAGCTTCGCCTCTGGCTCAGGGCTTGTCTTGCTGCAACAAGCAGAGAGGAGACCGCCACCAGAACCCCCAGGGGAAGCGGGCGCGACAGGGCATGAGAGCTGGCGAGCTATCGGCCCCGTAGGTTTGGCGCCGCCTTTTATGATGTGGGGCCCCATACCACCCTTTGATGTGACAGTGGAGGAGCGCACCAACCTCAGAGGGGGTCGGTCCCCCCATGTCTGCTGCTGCACTACCCTCGGCACCTCCACCACTTCTTCCACATACACCGGACGGCGCACCTCCCGAATCCGCTCCTCCACCACCGGCTTTGGAACTGGCACCACCACCTCCTGTAAGCACAAAACACTAATATGCATAAAATATACGCTGTATATGCATACATGCATATATACACTCATACATGCATATATACACTCATACATGCATATATATGAGATGGAAACTCAACTACGTGCTCAGGCCTTAGGGTTTAGGGTTTACCTGGTAGATGGTGGTAGGTACCTCTACTGTGCGTTCGACGACCTGCACTTGAGGAACAGTTGTGATAACTTCTTTGGTGATTGGCTTGGGAACATGATGTACTCGTTCTACCGTTTCATACTTGGGGACAAACTTAATTTTTTCTTGAAAAATGTGTTGCTTCTGTTCAACAACTTTCTCTCTAACAGCTACTTGAGGGACCTCTCGCACCCGCTGCTCGACCGTAGGCACCCGCACCTCCACCACCTGCTCCGTAATCCAGGGCCCCCCAGCAGCAGTTGGGATTGGATCCAGCGTGAGCACATTCCCGTAATGCTGCTGCTGCACGGTTGTCGGCGAAACACCATCCTGGCCTCCGCAGCACGGTGAGGTTTGCTCCGCAGGCGGCTTTTCGTACATCATCGTCTGATTCCAGATAATTAGTTGCTAACAGTTGTGGGGCCCCACAGAGACCACTCGTAGAATCCCTTGTATGCGAAGAATGGCGGAAGCAATGAGAGTGAAGGGAACTTCTCGCCCCCGTCGTGCCGTGGGGGCTCACGAAGAGGAGATACACACACAGAAAACGCCCTTGGTCAACTGTTGGAAACAACCACAGGACGCATGCACGGAAGATTGTGAAAAAAACTGGGGCTTTGAGAGGGGCACCGAGCGAAGAGAACCGGCCCACAGCTGAGCAGGAGCAACCCGCGTCTGCGACGGGAGAAACGCGCCGTTGGGGAAGCAAACAATACCTTCTTTAAGTGTTCAACTGAGCCTATAAACCTGCTAAAGACCTATAAAATACCAGCGGCGGGTAACCGGGACTCATTTGACTCTGCTGCAACCCGTGAGGCAACACTGGCACTTCGATGCAGCTGTGCAGAGCACCAGCTAGCCCTAAGAAGAAGAGACCTGCTTCAGCTTGACAGGGTTTAAAGTTGTATATTTATGCACCTTTCAACAACAATACCAACAAAAGGAAATCTAGATTCCAACTCAACAGCGAAGCACTCGACAAACCAGCCCTGCGGCTCGGTTGTGTGGCCCGGTCTGCACACGACGCATCTGCTGCCGGCCACTCCCCTCTTTCGCCTCTTTTCGAGTGGAAAAAATAATAATATACGTTTAAATGCAAGCCACCTCAAATAATTCAAGGAAGCTTGTTGTTTATACAGACAACGATCCCCACCACAGCCCCCAATAGGGCACCGGTGCCAGAGGGGGACCACTGCAGTGCCAGCAGCACACGATATGCAGACAGTATACAAAAGTTTCGAAGCATGAAGCTAATCCATTATTTTTGTGTTTCAGGTAAAGTGGTGAGGCGAAGCTCACAACATTGAACAGAAATGCGTGGTGAAATGTCCTGAATATTAGACACTATGAGGCGCGGCGACGCACTCTATGAACTCTTTTGAGGGAGAATAGCACGGAAATGGGACACATAAAGCTGGATAACACAATTATCATGTGGCAACTCTTTTGTGTGACTCACCAGAGTAGCATCAGCCCATTTGCTTGTTCTGCTTAAGAAGGTGGTATCTATAATTCATAGCTGGGGGGATCTGGTGAAGGGTCAAGTGGGTAGCAAGCAGTTGGCTACAGTTGTGGAGCATGGAGCAAAGTCATATTTTTGTGATTCGATACTGGTGCCTAGTCGCACCAGTTGTATCAATGTGAGGTCTTACAGATATCAGGCCAGGGCTTCTCGAGCAGCCCAAGGCCACCAAGTGTAATGAGATTCTTTACGCGATTCTCTGCGCTCATCAGAAGACCATCTTGAAGGACAGACTGTCGACGTGTGCTTTAAAACACTAGTTCGCCAAAAGCATATGGCCTCTTCAAGTCTGTAGGCGTCGTGGGCATTGCAGATCGAGCGGGTAGGGCTGGGGGGCTGGGGCTGGGGGATACGGCGGCGGGGAATGGCGCAACGCAGTATTGCCGCACGAAGAGCTGCAAGGCAAACTCACGTGCAAGTACAAATCTTTTGCTGCACAGCCCGTGGTAGGCAACTTTCATGTGAGTAGATGTAGATGCACCACCTGCGAATAGACAGTGTGAAGTCCACTGTCGTTGCCCCACTGCCACATGCCGTTCTTTTCCCCATAATGGGGATGGTGGAGCATGGACACGACAGAAACTGCACCTACTGCGAGCAGAACACTACTTTTATCACTCTGATGGCCCCATTGAATAACAGCAGGACGAGACAGCTCTCAAAAGGGCGCAGGGGAAGTCAAACTTCTTAAGGCATTGAGAGCCTGTGTGAGCATATCGGATACTTTTCACTTGTGTAACATATTTTCTAATGCCGTGCAACTAAACGTAGATTTAGTATATGCTCACACAGGATCTCAAAGCCTTAAGAAGTTGCATGCATTAAGCCAGGAGGAGGCTAATGTGTATTGCACCGGTCTTTGGGGCTGGAAATTTCAACAGCGCAGGTTACCGCTGTGCCTCGTGGTAAATCTTTCCACTGCGCATGCTCTGCTTGTTATCAGCAAAAACGCCCCCGTCAGTAATTAGTGCGATCCTGTAGTGTCCTGCACTACCGGAAGCACTATAGTAGCTATAAAAAGTGTGAGGACCTTTACTTCAACTGTGTCCGCTTCTGCTGTGCATAGGGTGATGATAGGATCGAATATTCCAAGGCCACCGTCTCGAAAGGAGTATCAGGACGGATTGTGTGCATGTTTCCGTCGTTTCCTGCAGCTCCTCGTCATTGCGCACGGGTCTCCCCACGCGTTTCCGCCTGCAGCACTTCTTCTACTGCTCTCCTCAGGTGATGCGAAATGCCATTAGGCGTGCTGAAAAATACACTCCAGGGGAGAACGTTTCCCTCCAATAGTGGGGAAGCCGCTGTATAACTGTGATTGTCTTGGTGAACTGACACAATGTAAACCCCCCGGATCATAGTAATGTAACCCAACGCTAAATTGTATTGGCGTCTAACGGTCATAGCCTTGCCGACATGGTGTTATGTCTGCCATTGGCGATGCATACCATCACAGACTGTACTAACACCTGGGATGGAAGATGCCACCTCCTCGTGATAGCTTCAGATACCACATTCTCGTCGCCTGCGTTGGGAAGTGATACTAGTTTCTCAGCTTTAGTGCGAAAATGGATAAGCACAGTGTGAACTCGGGGCGGATCCGAGGGAAGTACAACCGCCGATTTTGGCTCCATCACCTCGCCGTACCTTGAGAAGGGGCAATGCAGTTACGCATACGTAAGGAGGAAAATTTTACTTACACCTTCCCAACGGAGACGAGAGGACGCGTCTGTAAAAACTTTCCAGTTGTTGAGTATATGAGACTTGTATGTGTGAATGCTAACCTCGCTCAGAAAAGTACAGGGACCAGGAAGCTGCAGCAGCCGGGTAATTCGGCGCTCAAAATTCCGGAAGGCCGTACGGCTCATCGCAGCTGTTTCTCTTGCAGTGAAGTCGTCCATATAATTCAAGACTGCAGGCGATGTGAATGGATACAGTGCTGGAGAAGCAACGCTGCCAGGACTGCCTTCCGGTGACGCTGTATGCCTTGAGTCGCAGCGCAATTTTTGGCAAGCAGTATTTTCTCTCGCGGCTCTAGGCACTTGCGGTATAGAATCATGGATACTGGCGGGGTAGGTCAGTTGCACTTAAGAATATCCCATCTTATATTGCATTCCGGCTCCACTACAGTTCTCTATAACCCTCGGATAAAATCCAGACCCTGTGTTAGAGTTCTGCAGGACGCCACCCTGGTCTTGTGATGGAGTATACTGCTCTCGCGTGCCCCACCGAGCCTTACTGTGATAACAACTGTAACGAGAATCTCAGACCTTATCCAAAGACTGTCTCAAGTTCCAGGGGAGTCAAACTAGTTGAGACAAAACTTCGGTAATAGCACCTGACCTACCCTTGCCAGGCTTGGGAATTTCTGGGAGCAGCAGACCACGCGAGAAGGTCTGGTATAGAAGGTAGCCGCATATGATACACCGCTTCTTGTTGCAACTCAAGGTGTAGAATATATCAAGAGGCAAGAACAACAGAGCATTAGGCTATGGATGCACTAACAGTGCATATAGCTTTTTAAGGCCTCTTCATGCTAGTATGCTCGTCTCTGTGTCGAATAGGAGTTCATGTGCGCCCATCAAAGAGTCTTAGCAAGATCGGAAAGGAGCTCTTACATGCGTTGAAGGCTGGCAGACTATGCTGCATCATATAGCCAGCCTGAACCCAAGTAGGAATATACTGATGAACTGGCGGCAAACGGTGCCAACAAGCGTTTACTGCTGCAACGCCAAGTCCTGCATCAGACACGACTGTAAACTAACACATGCACTACGTTGGGTCCGGTTCACGCAATTTTATAGCTGTTGCATTTTAGAATAAGGGATACCCAAGGGTGAGGCCCAGGAGTAATCTAATTTCGTTTGCTAAGTAGGGGTAAGTCCCACGGGCGGGAGGTTTAGAATGACTGGTTTACACGGTGGTGGCAAGATGCCAAGAGAAGCCCTCGTCTTTCTCCCAAGTATACTGCAGTGAAAATATATCGTTGCAATAATGAGTCAAGGAAGGAAGTGTCAGCACTCAAAGGGTTACAGTGCACTGGGGCCTGAGTTGGCTCCTGTGTTAAGTCCGCCACTCCCCAGCTCAATGAAGGATGCAGACTGCGTTGATTGCTTGATGTCTTTGGCGTAAGTCTCCATTCCCATTTTACTAAATGCGGTGTCTATATTTTCATTTCTGAAAATGCGGTCCTTCTTACGTGTTTTGTGCCTGCTGGCAGCCACTGCCGCCTGGCACGAACGGAGCAGCATCAACACGAATCTACCTTTTGCTCTCGCTGCAGCACCTGCAGCACCTGCTCCCCCTGCTTCCTCTGGCAGCCCACCCTCTGCTGCTATACCTTCCCAGTCTGAAGTACAGGTCCTTACAGATGCGAACTTTGAACAAGAAACGCAAGCCGTCACCGGTTCCACCTCGGGTATGAAGCGACAGCCTGCCCACGGGTGGACTGTTTGCTCGGTGTTGAATAGGGAAATTTGTCACTTAGTGGGCATTTTCCCATTACCATAAGACTATTAATGTTGTTAGACGTCTCCATGACATTTTGCCGCCCTCCATCGATGCACGCGGGAGTAGAACCTGCAGCGCTTTCCACACCCGCACACATGCAAATGCTTGGACTCCGGTTTGCGATTACTTCCAATCTCTTGGGTGTTTAAGGAATCTTGTTTCCTGTTGCTTTCTATCGTCTCAGGTGACTGGTTTGTCAAGTTCTACACACCATGGTGCGGCCACTGCCGGAAGTTGGCGCCGGCGTGGGAGGAACTGGCAAGGAAGCTCAAGGGACAGATTAATGTAGCTCATCTTGACGCCACCACGAATCAGCGTACAGCATCACGATTCAACATCAGGGGTTTCCCAACTCTTCTGTACTTGAAAGATGTGAGCCGATCATTCAGCAGCCCTCCATGTGTCGGCACGTGCGCACTGACATTCCTGTGCTATAGTCATGCACCCGTTGAACGCGTTGTGCAGCGTCTCGTGATGTGTTGTAAGATATTTCTTCTGGCTTGTTGTGGCCACCACAGGGTCAAATGTATCAGTACAAGGGCAACCGCACTGTGGACGACATGTACAAGTTTGCAACCGGTGGATGGCAGCAGACGGCAGGAAAGGTGCGCCACGTCTTTGCCAGGTCCAACTCCCTTTGTTATAAATCCCTTTAATATGAAATGGGGAGCTCTATAGCGTGACTGCGCTGCGAACTTAACTGTGAAATTCGAACTGCTTGTGCCGGTTTTATTCAGCCTATTCCGCCAGTTTTGACGTGGCTCGAGTCGGTGAGGGACGAGTTTCTCTTGGCAGTCCAACAACTTAGAGATATTTTCATTCAGTTCCCGTTGCCTCTTCTGATGCTTTTCGGCATTGGGTGCATCATGGGCTTGATGACTGCTTGCCTCGGCTTCGCTCTCTGCATGGGAACGAAGAGTCGCGACGTGAAGATCTCCAAGACGTCGAAGAAGAAGGATTAGATAACGCGCGCATTCTCATTCTAGCTGTGTTATGCTGTTGTGTGGCAACCGTAACACAATATCACGACTGGCTCTTATCCCCCACTCCATGTGCCGTTCCGTCGATGAATGGACGCAGAGTGCTGCAGGCGGCCAGTGCCGTCTGGCCTTTCTTCCCAGGAAGCTTCGGAAGCCCATTTGCAGCTTTATGCAGCTCATGTTGTGTCTTGCGAATGGGGACTTTATGGGGTTGACACTGGCTCGCAAGTTGAATGCAAACTGTGTTAGACCCCCGCGCGGGGCCTGCTGGGATTCTCTCCCCACGTATTATTCCTCCTTGCATGCCTCAACTATGTGCTTCATCACCTTAACCAGTTATGAGCACGCTAACCACATTTTTCTCATTAGCTGCACTACACTCAACTGCTTAGAGAGTGGCTGTTACCAGACTAAAGTGAGGAGGATGGTTTAGTGCTCAGGCAGCAAAGACCGCGTTATAATCAGGGGAATTAAGAATAGTTCGAAAATTTTCTATCGGGAGGGAGCAGTAGGAGGTTGAGCAGCTGCACAATTTATGTTGGCCAAAAGCATCAGGAGAAACTGCTTGCGATGGAAAGAGCTGTGTCGTACAGATGACACTTGTTTATGGAGCAGCGTACTTCGTGGAGGCAGTGGAGGCTTGAGGCACGCTGTTGCACATTTCAAAACTCCTGGAAAGGACAGGGGACGAAAATTGCCCATTGTCTCACCTTGCAGGGCGGACCTCGGCCGCTGTACGCACTGGACTGCCATTCTCTTAGAAGTTACAATGTGCCACAACATTGTGGGCGTCGTCGTCATTGCCCAGCTGCCTCGTGGAATGGAGCATAACGCGGCGAGGTGTGCGGAGGGTGTTTGAGCAGCGAAGGATGAAAGCTGCTGAACTGTGCCATATAGTCAGCAGAGCACTTGCAATTTGGGCTTACACAATGCAGTTATGGCTACTCCCAAAGCGTCAAACAAGCGGGAGACGCAGCCCCTCCACTATAGTTAACGCAGCTGCACCAGGTCGACGTTGCATGCTTTTACATATAGAAGCGGCAGCCTAGCGGCCCTCACCGGTAGCCACACGGAAAGTTCAGCAAGCCTTTTAGTGCCCCTTCACATCCTGTAAATATGCATTCAGCCATAATATACCCCCCCACCACTTTGGTGAGTCAATAGTAGCATCCCTTCAGAGGCTCACACGCCCCACCCCTGTCGCCAAGGTACCCAGACTATTTGCTGTTGACCAGGAACTTGTTCGGACTGAGGTTGTGGCGATACGTTTGTTTCACCTCGTATAAAGTCCAAGAAATGTTGGGATGCTGTCAGAACCTTTCTACATTTGTAACCCAACTACGATGCACCCATTCATTCAAGCTCGTTTGCGCCATACTGCAGATGCACGACAACGTCAATTCGCGCCCTCTGTAAACCACTACAGGACTGGCTGAGTGGCCCATGGACAGCCTACTTCTACAGTAACTCTTGTGCTCATCTACATGACGGTGCGCTTACAATGGCATTCACGTTTGAATGGCTCAAAAAATAGTGTCACCCGTATCATGGTTTCCTGCTGGCACGGGCATTCCTGTTTCCGTGCATGTTGGCCACCTGAGTGGCATGTAACATCTCACCAAGTGCCTACACTGTTAGTGAACGCGAAAAATGGGGCTTTGTTGCGCTTGCATGTATTGTTGCCTGGGGAAGTTCCAGCAGGGTGAATTAAAACCCGTCAGGCGGATTGCTCTCCGCACCAACAAAAGCCCCAGACGCTTGCATCGCTGTATCCGAGATGTCTGGAGATTTGATTTGGCGTCAAGTGCAGTTGGCAAACTTTTGACATAAGATGTTCCAAATTATATGACACTACAGCTCACGCCGCTCCACCGCTTCGATGACGGCCTCTGCCGACGCCCTCCGCTCCCCTCCAACTCGTACAGACCGCATAGATATGCTTGAAGAAAGCATGAGAGGTTTACGAGGAGTGGGTGGGCCAATGTATCTGGTAATTCATGTTCCAAAGTCGTCAGACACGTCGCTACAGTGTACGGTATTGAGGACTCTCCGCGATGTCCAGCAGCAAACAGCACCAATCCCACTTCCCAAAATTTGTACCCCGTCCAATTTTTTGTTAGGCATATCTGAACGGTAGTTTAGCAACAAAATACCGGGAAGTTTGTATAGCGCGTGAATACATGGACGGTGGTTTCAAGTCTAACACCAACTGTTGTAGTCCGGAACGATCAATGCGTCTGTCAACTGTGTAACAATAAAGTTTAAAGAAAATCTGAAGTATAAAAATAAATACTTCAAAGCAATTAAGCACATCTGTACATTTCCGACTTGCGGGGCGCATGCGTCGTGTGGGCCCCAAAGTGCCGTGGAAGCCAATGGCATCCGCAGCTCATTCTGTGGCGCCTTTGGAGAGGTGATCTCCTTGGTTAACTAAGGAATTCGGAATTCATCATGATTTCAAGGAGCAAGGCGCTAAGCAGACCAACAGCGAGGTAACAGTAGAGCCCTCGCTGTCTTTACCGTACATATTAGAGGAGAGCGGTTGCAATACCTTGCTGTCAACACCCGTCAACACAGCACGATTGCATTGTAAATTGTCAGTGGAAACACCGCCGCTAAGTGCTTTTGTAGCGGGGGAGTTGCCTGTGACCTCACGACAATGTCGCGCCGGGTGACCACGCTGGGGGCAGGCAACCTGAAATCGGCCTGCGTGCCCAAGAACTTCGATTTGCTGCCATTTCCCTCTCTCCGCGTCCGTCTTCACCCTGTGCCGCTTATGACAATCTTAGATGCGTACATTCGACGGGATGAAGGCCAAGAAAACGTAATCGGCACTCTCTTGGGCTCTTGCTCCGATGGAAACGTCATTGATGTCACAGACTGCTTCGTGGATCGCCACTCCTTGACTGGAGAGGTTTGTTAACAATGAGGGGCGTTGCTAATGATTCAGTAGGGAAAACGTAGGTGACCAGCCAGCAGAGTTGTTGGTTGTCCAGAGGACGTTCCCCTCTGTCTCCTCTTGTGTCTTGTTTTTTTTTAGGGTTTGCTGCAAATCATCAAGGATCACCACGAGAGCATGTTCGAGCTCAAGCAACAGGCCAACGGGGGCAATGGGGGAGTGAGAGAGGTGGTTGTTGGATGGTTCTGCACAGGTAGTGAAATGACTGAATTGACCTGCGCTGTGCACGGATGGTTCAAGCAGTTTTCCTCCGTCTCCAAGTTCTTCCCTCAGCCTCCTCTGACGGAACCCATCCATTTGATGGTTGATGCTATTATGGAAAGCGGGAGCTTCGCAGTGAAGGTATGTAGTAATCGTGCAGGAAACCTAGAGAGTTGCGCTGTCACAAAACGTCTGATTTTCATGTGTAGGGTAACATACGCAGCAATAATGGCTTCGCGGGAACGGATTGCTTTTGTTGCAGGTGTACACACAGGTGCAGATGACTATGGCAAGAGAGGCTTGTTTCCAGTTCCATGAACTCCCCTTAGAACTGTATGCGTCTCCCTCCGACAGAATCGGTCTACGGTTGCTTCAGAAAGTGCGCATGGCGCATCGCAGCTATCCGCCAAAAGCTGAAGAGTTGATGGAACCTCCAGCAGATGGTGTTTTGTTGAATGAGTTGGGCGACGGCCTCAGTGCCGAGCTTGAGCAGCTGCAAGAGAAGCTTGAGATTTGCGCGTCATACGTTCGGAGCGTGCTGAATGGGGAGACTGAACCTGATCCTGAGGTGGGCCGCTTCCTTAGCGCTGCTCTGAGCAGCGCTACAGAGCCAGAAGTAGAGAACTTTGAACAGCTGTGTCAGAACACGCTGCAGGACAGTCTCATGGCGGCGCACTTGGCAAGGCTGGCAAAGCTGCAGTTCGCTGTTGCTCAGAAGCTCAACAATTCGTTCTTCTGAGGGAAATGAGCGGGGATTCGGAGCCTCTCTGGGCACACGTTAGCTTCGATGGAACGCAGCAGCGTTGCGGTGTGCCTATAGAGGACCTTACCAACTGTCGGCAGCCTAGGCGGCTGCACTGACTTCCTAGTGAATTCTTTGTTTTCAGTGCAACGGCAACACCATTACACAAAATATCGGGGTGTAGAATTCTTTCTAGGGACCCGCTAGTGGCTACATACCTCAACAGCCAAAAAGCTCGAATGTGCAAGCTACTGTTGAGAAACCCCCTGAATCTCGGGAGCGTTTTAACATATAAGGCGTAGAATACTGCGGCGAATTGCCACAAGCGGAGCGAAAAGTACCCCTGTGCAGCCCACTGACATCACCTCCAATGATGGAGTGGGGTCGAAAGTGCGCACAGCTGCCGCCGGACATCGATATTAAGAACGGCGTGGTGATGTCCTATAGTTTGGACGTTTTCGTTACGTCGTCAACTCCCTTGGCAGTCGCATGCCTTTGCCGGTTGTGGTAAGCGGAGGGAAAGTTTTCAGGAGCACTGAACCAGTACATAAGAGGCACAAGAGGAGGTCGTCAAAAAATTCGCGATGCAGTTGAGGCCAAGCGCACCTTCCATTTTCGCCACGAAAAGCCCATGCTTTGAAGCACCAAATCCATGCGATAAATGTGAGTTGCCTTGCGTATGTGTGTGCTCTGCGGGGTGGCGATCTGAACATGAAACCTAGCGCTCGATATAAAGGATGAAGGAGGAGGGCCTCCAAACATTCAACCTGGCACTTCACTATTCCCATCTGCAGGGGAAGCGCATGATTGCATATCGCGGGCACGGGCTAGAAGCAACGGCGCCTATTATGGTATCCGACACATCCATGTGCACATATGTGAATGGATGATCAATTTAAATGAACCTTGAGCATTTTCTAAGCTAAAATATTCACCTAGCCAGTCACTGTGTGCCGTGGGAAAGCAGGTTCTCTAGTACTACCCAGTGGTCACTTGACACGGTCCATCGATATCACTACAGGAACACATTCGCTGAGTACGAAACAGCATCCTTGAACAATTAGAATGCTTCGTCTATATCATTTACGAATAAAATAGCCAAGCAACCTTCAGACACCCTGTACTGCAGGCATCGGGCTCGATGCTGTGCAGTCCTGGTTTGCTTTGCGTCCGGTGCCCGTGAAGGGCGCGCCCGATCACTACGCAAGGCTCAGTTACCATTAGTTGTGCTGAACATCCTTGTGATTGCTACATTTTTTAATTACGTAGCAGTCAATATTTGGGCAATAGTTTTTAAATAAGCTCGCCCTAGAACTCTGCACGAGTTGAACTGTCGTCCTTCCAGCCCATGCTGTTTCGAATCTACAGGGGTTTGTTTATGTCCTGGCTTAATAAGTCCATTTGAATTAGTGTTCTTTCACCGGATCGAATTTGTCCAAACTTAATTCGTGTTTCCTGTGCCTTCAAGGCTCGACGGCACCACATTTTCAGCGAGACCGGGAGGTCGTCCCCTCCTGCTATTTCAGACTCTCTCTGGGAGATCCTGTACTTTTCCTCTTGCTTTCGTGGTGTCAAGAAGCCCTATTTGCTTTATCGATATTACAGGCAAAGTTGGTATACGACCGTCCTCTGTTTAGAGATCAGCAGACGCTCAGGATAGGTGTCTTGGATGGTTCCCTCCTCGTCTCGCTTCTAGACTTAGGAATTGTAAGATGAAAAAAGTAGTTGCCTGCGTGGTAGTGTTGGCCTCAGTGCCAGTGACGTTATGCAGTGGCCCAACTGGAACAGTCCCGAACAGCTGGTCAAACGCTGGGCCATTGACGAGCGGGGTGAACATTGCAGCTTCTGGGGAGCCAGATGGCTTTTCGCCGGCTGTTCAGGCTACAGCTGATGTCCCTCAGAGTGCGAAGACTACAGATGAAGAGGCTTCCATTGCGCTGAAGGCAAGGGTGTCATCTGAGCCGCCAACAGGAAAGCCTGAGGGGAAGGGTGCTGAAAGTGAAGCAAAGGCACCAGAAGTATCCAGTGTAGTCCACCAGGAAAAACGACTTTTGGGGAATGGCCACAAGGCTCTAAGCTTGGGTCTCCTCATTGTGGCGTTGGCGTTTATTGCAAGGGTGTTTGCCTCAAAGCTTGCATTGACAGGAGGACTGCCAAGGCAGGCTGATGGGGGCATTCCAGACTCGGGACCAGAAGTCGTCTCACCAGAACCTGGGGGTGACGATTTGAAAGAAGACGTGCAGCCCGCCGTTGAGGCGTTGACTAGTGGAGCTGCGCAGACCGAACATCTTGATGTAGGCGCACAGCTTGAACGGGAAATTCAAAACCTGTTGGAAGCCTTTAGGCGTTCGACAGTCAGGACAGAGTTATGGGCGAACAAGTCAGAGACTGCTCTGCTCTCCGGGAGGGCAAAAGGAGGGGATGGACCTAGTCCGGATTCGGCTTTGGGCTCTCTTGTGACCAAGGTGTCATCGATAGCATCTTCGTTGTCCCAAAATACTGGAACACTCTTTGCCGAGCTGGAAAGGCTCACAGAAAGAGTCGGAAGTGCAAGGACTCCGGAGCAGGTAGCGAATGCGGCATATCTTCTCCGAGAGTTGCTAGGAGCCTTGGAGAAAATTGGGGGGAGTGCCGGCACTGACTTTTTCAGACTTACAAAGCTAACTGCCACTATGGCCAATCAGTCAAAGGCGCTCCTTCAGGTATATCCAGACGTTGTCGTACTAGCGAATAACTTGTCAGAACAACTACCAATACCTTATCCAAGCCATTTGCCCAGCCCAACGCCTGGTGAAAGCCAGATTTCACCGGTTGATTTGAGGATGATCGTCGATTCAGTGAGTGTCTCCGAGGCCCTTCAGCAAGCAAAAATGCAAAGGATTCTTCGTAGTCAATTGTCGAAGAAGGAATTTCCTTATTTGATTCTGTTATTAGAACGGGCTGGAGCGCTTCAACGAGAGATGCAGGCTGCTGTGAAATCACTGGTGCAGGCTCAGGAAAGAGCGGAGGAGGGAAGGGTACCGAGCGATCCTGCTGGCCTGAAATCATACGTAGATACCCTGAAGGCTATAAAGGAGAAGCAGGCAGCATTGGGGGAGGAAATGAAGTTGGAATTGGACTTATGCGTTGAACAAGCATTAGAGCACCTTGAGGCAGCCCATACTTTGCTAGTGCGAGGTGGAGGTGAGCGCTGGAGAAAAAGCGCCCACCCACTGTTGGGTCTGGCAAGAACACTCAAAAGGCACTGCGCCACTGTGAGAGAAGCCCTGTCTAAGTGGGAGGATAACATTGGCAATACCACCGAATGAGGATGGTCCTCCAAGTAGCCCAACTGGGCATGAATTTATACTAGCATAACCTTGAACAGTTGGCATGGTTCCACTGGAAGCTGGCTTTATCTGTGAAACAAGCTAAACCGTTTGAGCATGCGTGCGGCATCAGCCCAGCAGTAGTTTTGAAACGGAATGTCAATGGCATTGATAAGGATATTTACTAAGATATCCTTCTTATACGCAACTACTAAGATATTTCACAGTAGTGTGATGTGGGGTGTTTATATATATATATATATATATATATATATATAT